CAGTAGTGACGTTGTATTGCCATGTCGCTATAGAGCCATCAATGTGGAGTGTCACAAATATTATTCACAATCTAGGGGGCTGATTGAGATGCACCCTTAGTCTCTTTATATGCTTGTGTAGTACAGATTAAAAATGTAATGTTCTGAGTTCTTTGAGTTTGTTAACTTGATGTAACTGATTACCACAATTTTTTGAGCTCTGCCAACTTAATGGGGCTTACAGATACACTCTAAATTCTTAGTTTGCAGAAGCACATAACTTATCAACATTGTTGTCATTAATGCCTTACTGTATCCTGTTCCATTCCATGTATACAAAATGTGGGTTTTATGTACTGTGATTACACTTGAAGATAAAGACTGAAGCCGGTTAATGTACTGCAGGTTCTCTCAAATGATTTTTCATTTGTTAAACGTCTCATCTGGTTTTCATTGATATTTTTTGATGCATTTAGTGTCAATATGCAGTCTTTCTGATGAGACTGTCGGTGTACATAAGAGAAAGAAGAAACTCTGAACCAGACATACCAACAGACATTCATGGCCAAGTGGAGACAGTTATCAGGTTATTCATGATTTTTGAAATAGTAAATGGCACCAGCTTTCTTTGCACATTGAAGGATGAAAGGTAATGAAAAAAATACAAACATTCAGCTACTATGGCATTGAGAAAATTCCAGGTATCCTGACATTATGCATCAGCTTCAACCCTTCATAACTGAGCTGTTTTAATGGCTACAGAACAGAATTAATGACTCCAGAAATCAGAATCCCACGCAGACAACCAGGGACAGTTTAAGTCGTTTTCTCCCCCACCCATTCACTGCATCTTTCCTGTGACAGGGAAAGTTGTGGTGTTGCTGACCTTAATTTCATCTCCTCATCATGCTGCTATAGATCTCTGCGGAGCGATTCACCGTGCTAAACAACGACTTCTCCCGCATAACTTATCTCCCTCCCACACACACACACACCTTGAGAACACCAGCGTCGGCCTAGCAGCACATTTCTTCAACTTAGTGCCTGCCATCAGCATCACTCACAATGAGGTCTACAGCGAATGACTGGTAATAAAAGGCAGAAGGTTTGGCTTCTGGGTAGATGTGGGAGGACAGTGGTACGAGCTGAATAGATGTGCAACAAATAACCATTTTAACCGTAGTAATCATTTTTAAGTCCATTTGATTTATTAGATTTAACATATATCTGTAACGAATAATCTGTAAAAAAAAAAAATGTCATTATTGGATATATATTCATACTGAATATAATTTCCTACTCACTATAATTATATATATATATATATATATATATAATGTGAGGTCTACAGGCCTAATTGCAAATAAAAGAGAAAAATAAAAGGAAGTTATTTTTTAAAAAAATATTTTTATTATTATTATTATGGAGCATATTCCTGGTTTTTACTCTTTGTCTTATAGAGACGATATAGTCCATTAGTTCACTAGGTCTAACGTGTATTAAAGATAAAAACTATTGAAAATGTTAATTGGTAAATTTGTGTTTCTACCCAAAAATGCCACGCTTAATTGTCATGATTAATAGTTTATATTAAACAGAAGGCATACATTATTATCATTATTGTTGAATTTATGATTAATATTATTAGTTACCTCTGTATATGTAAATTAAAGAGAAAAAAACAATAAAAGTGTTTATTTTGCCTATAGATTTCCAAAAATATTTGGCATTGAATATAATAATTGAATAGGCTATATTAGTTTATCATTGAATCATTTATTAATCTAAAATGAAACAGAAGGCATAAAATGTGATTAATTATTACTGTTATTATTGAGTGCATTTCTGGTTTTTAGAGTCATACAGCCCAAATGAGTTAACGCTGTAGGCCTAATATGCAAATGAATGAGCAAAAACCAATGCAAGTTATGTGTTTCTACATGCTCTCCTCTGTGATTATATTTCAAAGAGGCACCCTTTTAATTTCTAAATCACTGAGAAAACCCGACCTAATTTCTTGAAAGAATGTCTACACATGAAAAAAGCAACGCGGTCTTTGAAGTCTAGAATTAGACACATGAACTCTTGCCCCTCCTTTAGCACAATGATGCCGTATCAGTTCTGCTTCTTATTTATTCATAATCTGACTTAATGCTTTTGAGGCATTCAGACAATTGATCCGCATCAAAACACTCCACAAACAAGCGCTTGTAAATGTTAGGACATAGGCCTATATTCAAAGGCAGCGATTAATATTTCATATCAGCCTTCAGGATTAGAAAAAGTATCGCAGTAACGCAGATGAATTGCCCCAAGACAAACGTCTCACTTTAATGCAGCCGCTCCCTTAAATATTTAAGATAATGAAGTGCCGTTTATTTTCACAGTATAGAACAGTGGGTTTGGCTGCACAGCGACCATTTCGAAACAACTTCACCGAATGTTATGTGAATCAGTCACGCTCAATGGCCACTTTGCTGCCTAACCATACTAGCGAAATAATGTGAAAGCCACCAATTGGGCTGTCTTTGTAGTCTCCTGTAGGAAAGTGCAGACGATGAAAGCATTTATTCTTTCACTCAGCTCGAGCTCGCAGCTCCTCAGAGGAGACAGCGGGCAGCTGAAGGACTGTAATTAGCACCTGAAGGCTAATTCTCACTTGGAGTTTATTTTTCGATTAAGGTTTGCACGTTGGTCTTCTAGGTCACAGTGGCCATTCATTGGAAATGGCTCAGATTTGATTTATGCACATGTCGCTATGTCTCATACGTGTGTTGTAGGCAGGCCTACTGTAAATGATTTTCTCAGTCACTTAAGCTGAATACTAACAATCAGTGACAAAATTAACAAGCTAAAGGCTATAAAGAAGGTGTCAAAGAGAATGGATTGAAAAAAATGTGCTGATGTTGATCCAATGTTAACAGCAATTACATAATTATCTCTAAACGGAGAAAGCTGGGAACACCTAGTAACACATTTGCATACGGGTGTTAATGTCCCTTCCCTCTCCAGATGTTGTGCTCTTTCTCACCTGCTATTGTGCAGCTTGTAGTGTTACAATGTGCCTGCAGAGGGAGACAGAGTTCATTGTTAACAATAGTAAATCAACATAAACTTACAAAGTACATTCAAAAACATCAGAGCGGTTTAAAAAAAGAATATAGTAAGTACATAAGTTATCTTTCCAGCATAAACTAAAGGTGCATTAGGTGTTTAGAAAGACCTACAACCTGTTTAAAATCATGCACTCTCAAACATAAAAAAGCTGTTTTTATTCTACATTTTTATTGTACAGAGATCAGGTCAGCTTAAAATCACTCATGGCCGTGTTCAAACTGGCAGCATTTTTTTTTTTTTTTTTCATATTCAGATTGGACAGCAAAAAACAAACAAACATGGAGGTGGTTTGAAATGTGATTCCAGTCAGATTTTCATGCATCTCAGTCTGGACTGCTCAAACTATAACATCAAAACTGGTGACAGGAATGCTGGAAGTATTCATAAGGTGTTCAAATGCATGTCAAAAATGATCTGCATTTTCCTGCGCGACAGAGGAGTTCTGCACAGCAACTCGACAGGGTGCTTATTTGGAAAAAGAGATGATGCACCATTTTTTCTTGAATCCGTTTTGAAAGCCTTGTCACATGCTGGTATGACTACATAGTTACCAAAGCAACCTGTGCTGATAGGTTTGTTATGTCTGGACACAAATCTTTTCTGCAGTCTGAACATAGCCTTTCACTATAGGCTCAGGGGTCTCCAGACTCGGTTTAGCTTCAACTTGGCTCACCATCAAAACCTGCCTGGATGTTTCTAGTAAGACCTTGGTTACCTGGCTAAGGTGTGTTTCATTGGGGTTTGGAGCTAAAATCTCCAGAACAGTGCTCTCCAGGAGCAGGACTATAACTGAATAAATTAATTTTGATTATGCACCCAGACCACTAGGTGTCAGTAAAAGACAACAGAAACAACTGCCATTTTCACAAGCACAAATCACCTATTATACACCATAGGCTATATATATATATATATATATTTATATATATATAGATTCCTCATTTGCCACTGTTTCTGTGGGCTGCTATAAGCCGTCCGCCAGATTTGAACTGTCAAAGTAAGCCAGTGAACACTCGAGAGAAAGTTTTGTAAAGGAACCTATGCCTGATGAAGGCCCGTACGGAGAAACACATTCGCAAAATAAAACAGCATTACAGCTCCATTTATATAAATAAATAAAGCATACAGCTCTGAGCATGCTAATAACATAATGTCAAATATAGTATAATATACTGATAAGAGAAAACATTATTTTTGTAATGTCACATGCATGCATTTATTATTACACAATACATGAACACAATTTGTACATATTTTACATATTTAGCACATGTAAAACCTACATCTGAGCAGAAATGTGAGAAGAAAAGCTTAATTGATAAGGCAATATTTTATAGTAATCACTTCTTAAAACTATATCCAAAACAGGCCAATGAAATCTTGTATAAACATTCCCTTTATAACATATTATAAATCATGTTTATGTTATATTAAAAGGCATATAAATGTTCATCCTATGGTTTAGTTGCTTATAAGAATTTCAGTTGACTTATGTCTAGGCTATAGCAAGTTTGGGAATAGCCAAACTAGTCAATATGTAGGGTACATAAAATGTACAATGTACAAAAAAATATAATATTTTTTTTAAGGTAAGTAAGAATAAATAACTTACCCCTTAAATATTATAGCCTCTCCTCGGCTGGATCAAGTCATTCCTCAAAATGAAACTGAAACCCCAATTGTGTTCTTCTTCTAACCACGTTCCAAAATGATGTAAAGTAATTCAATCTGATGAAATCTGATACATTTTATCGAGTTCATGAAGTGATAATTAAGTGCATCTACTGACACCAAAACAATTTGTCAAAGAATAGTGCGTAAGTACACATCTTGAATTGATTCAATGCACACTTGCTTCCTATTTCTGATCAAATCTCAGTTCTAAGCAAACTTCCACTATAGAATTCTCCCTTAGCAGTAGTAGCAAACACTCTGTCCTAATACCTATTGATCACAACCAATTACATTAAATTATGATATAGTATGTTAAATATTATTAAGCAAACATAATGTTTTAATATATCAAATAAAAATGTCTTATTTCTAGAAACTTACCATAGAAAATTAATATGGAGGTGGGTTGTATCATTATTAGGCTACTTGTCCTGTTGTGTGACACTTCCTCAAGATTTAATTTTGTGCTCACAATTTCCACAAACAGCAAAGTTTTAGTGTTTTTTTTTTCCCATTGTGGAAAAAAAAGAAAGGTAACTGCGAAGTTTTATCTCCTTTTTTTTGTGCAGGAATCAAGCTTCATACTATAGGTGTTTGATAGTTTGATGCACTGTGGTTAGTGGTGGGGAAATCAACAGAAATTGTTGGTTTCCAGGACTGGTAAAAGCTGACGGGAGTAAACGAACAGACAGAAGCATATTGTGGTCCGTCTGCTAGTGATGAGCTTGAACATGGCACCACTGGAGTGAAGCACAGTAGCTGACTGTGACCTCTGTGTGCTACTTGAAGGACATGCAGGACTCTGCTCATGTTTGCAGTCCTAAAGCATTTGTATGTAATGCACATAAACATTTACTTTTCAATGGCACAATATAATCAAATAACAATGTTTTTCTTATCCTCAAAATATAAGGTAACCGTTCTGGAGATTTGCAGGACTTCTGCCAGTTTAACACTGCATGAAATGCAAACCCCATTATTTTAGGCCTGGCTGATCTTGCTAGGTGGACACAGTAATAAAATCCCCCAGCATAAGATGTACTATACTAAACATTTATACACACTCACTGAGCAGCCCAATCTAACCTGCCAGAAAGCCATTGTTTAGATGTTTCAGTGTGTGAGCAGCCCAAATGGAAAAATGCACTGATGGAAAATGTTTTTTTTTCTTCTTTGGGTTTTTTTTTTTTTTTTTACATTTTATACCAGATGTTTCTTTAGCATTACATTAACAACAGTTTATTCCTTTCATCCTTCTCTTCATTTGTTACCGTCACACACTTTTAAGGGACTCTCATGGGGTACAAGAGTTTGAAATTATATTCCAATTATACATGGAGAAACAGAAAGTTGATTGTTGAACATTAAAACAACAGTAATTCATGGTGACACCATATAAAGGACAACAAAAATTTGAAAGTTCAACTCACATTTCACGTATGAAAGCTGTACACCCGAGTATCCTCTCGAAGAGTGAGTGTCCCCTGAAAGCTGCTCGTATTTTATCCACTCTGAGGTGATGGAGGGATATGCCTGGAGGAGAGAAATGAAAAGGATCCGAGTGAAAATTAAATGGCTCCGTCTGGCAGTCAGCTCAGCGGGGGCCTAGGGTTAATCAGAGGTGGTGAGAAAGAGAGAGAGAGAGAGAGAGAAACACTAGGAGGACGACACAGTAATGCAGACAGACTGGAAAGTATCAGGGAGACAGAAACCGAGCAAGAGGAGAGACTAAGAGAGCAGCGAGTGTGAGACACTGAGTCTAAACCAGACAGAAAGATCCATCAGAATGGAAAGACACAGGGACAGGAGGCATGTTTAGAGAAGCTTGGCTGCCCTCGGAGACCTTTTGAACCGTCCGCAGTGGGTCTGTCTGTGAGTGAGTCAGCACTACATGAGGTGCTGCTACATGTGTGTGATGTGCATCAGTGAAAACACAGTTGTGAGAGTTAAGGGGTGGAACTTTTCCAATCTTAGTATTGAACCTCGCTATAGGTACGGGAATATACTTCAAATATAAATCTAAATTAAAATATTTAAAAATCGTATTTTATTGTACAGTTAAAAGATATGGCCTATACGGCTTGTTAAATACGAGTACGGAGATTCAAATTACAGTTTTTATATTAAGTAAAGTGTGTGTGTGTAAAATTGAAACAAAAAAGTAAATTAATGTAGCCTATTTACATATTTTCCTGAAAGAATGCATTTTATAGCATTTAAAATAATATTATAAATTTAGGTAAACTATGCAAAACGGCGACGCAAGGTTATCATCTGGATGTACGGACAACCCGTCATTTCCGTCGCATTAACAGCATCAGCACGCGGATAATGAATAGTTCGGGGCATGTTAGCGATCGCCTTTGCGCTTTTTTCCTCCTCGCTCCAAAAGTATGTTGCTGCTGCTGCGTCTCGCCATGTTTACCTCTACTTCTTGTTTACTTCCGGTATGTTTTTTGGCGCATACAAGAATTTCCTCTACTCAAAAGACCAAGATTACTTGCGAAGAGAACATGCGCAAACACAAACCAATGTTCCTTTTGATGGATATGCCGATACGCATTTACATGACCAAATATTCGGGTTAGAAAAGTGGTAACCCAGGGATCACATATTCGGCTTTTTAAAAATTCAGCATATTCAGGTTTTTGCCGGTGTTTACATGGCCGTGCGCGACCGGGTTATTGCTAATATTCCTGTTTTGAATTAGTTATTGTCTGCTTGTAAACATAGTCAATTTGAAGAAACACTCAAAAGCCTCCAGAGAGGAAAGTTGCATCAAGAGAAGAGTAACTTCTTTCTAATTGGGCTTCTTGGTGACGAAATTAAGGAAAGTTGTTTAACAACTTTGAAACTTTGGTGGTGGAGGAGTAGCTTCTAAATTTCCAAAAGAAAAGCAATTTCACGCTTCATCCCAAGATCCAAACAATACCTTATTGGAATTAAAACTTATTAGGGAATACCAAGACCTGAAACCTTTGTTAGCACATTAAAACCACTTAATTATCAGTATGATAGCATCTCTTGTTAGCAACCTCCCATGATAATATTATCAATCGCAATAGCATTAGTAAGTTAATGTTTAATGCACCAATCTCAAATTCTGATAAAAAACGACGGCAACAACAACGATTTGGTAGGATATATTTAAGGATGAGGTGACTCAGCGCGTAGGACAATTATGTTGGATCCTGATTGAACACGTCAAGAGTTGGGAGTTCATATACTGAAACAGGTTACCATGTGTTTTGATGGTATTGATGCCATTTAGTTAATCGTTGTACTCTACTGGCCTCTAGTGTCGTCAGATGAAACTACAGTAGATTGTAAATGTCTGTAAAATGAAATGGTATTAATCAGAGAGGCATAACAAACAAGCCTCAGGTGTTTCCAAAAAATACAATATCAAAAATATTGTTAGTTTTTCGACCATTTCGATCTGTTTCCAAGACGGCATTCTTAAATTAAATAAACAAAGTAGGCCTAAGCCAAAAACAAAATCTGTTTTAACCATTTTGATCTGTTTCCAGATCTGTTTGATCTGTTTCCAAAATCCAAACCCACTGAGCTAAGTGCTAGCATACATTTACCATTTTTTCTGTCCACAATTGATGTCAATGGCAATTTACTTTTAAAATGCCCAAAACAATGCTCAGCCAATGAATATATTTACTTTGTACTTTGTCTTTCTAAGATTCAGATTTGAATAATTTGTCTGAAACAGCACAAGTGTATTTTGTCATCACTCCGAATAGGATTTGATGAATTATGTATGGATGAATGACTGACATTCTTGTTAGTGTACTCTTGTATGCATTGTCACCACTAGATGGCAGTCATGTGTCACAAATTCAAACCCTTGGAATTCAAACCTGTAGAATAATATAATATAATATAACAGAATAGAATAGAATAGAAATAGCTTTCGTTGCCACACACCCAGGGCCCAATTAAACCGTATTATTACAATGATTGAAACTTTTACAGGTATGCTAAAACAAAAGTCTAGAGATGCAGACGTCTTTAAGATCTTGGTTTTGCATTATCCAAACAGACACATAACCTGCTAGATGACAAATTGCCCAAACTCATATACTTGTCTAACTTGTCTTCTACTCAAGCACAAAAAACAAGGTACATTAATTACACTAAAGATGAGTCAATTTTTTCTCAGAAGAAGATATGTTTTCTCTTGCTCTGTTGTAAAATCTTTTATTATAAATTTCAATCAATAATTCAAAGGTGTGCAGTTCCCAGTTGTCTTCACGCATAAATATTTATAATGGACAACCGACATGTTTACTCAAGTGTGCCACACAAGTCCTGAATTGTAAGAAGAAAGAAAGAAAGAAAGAAAGAAAGAAAGAAAGAAAGAAAGACAGAAAGAAAGAAAGAAAGAAAGAAAGAAAGAAAGAAAGAAAGAAAGAAAGAAAGAAAGAAAGAAAGAAAGAAAGAAAGAAAGAAAGAAAGAAAGAAAAGTCCTGAAATGTAAGAAAGAAGGAAAGAAAGAAAGAAGCTCAAAAACCCTGCCCTCTCCATGTAATCTAATGGGATGTGAGACACAGTAAACAATCAAATAATTATTCATTTTTAATAATTAAATTTTTTTTTTTTTTTTACAAATATGGATTGTTAGTTTGTTTTTGTTTTTAGTTAGTTATTTGATGCTACAAAAGCCTGAGTGAAGGAGTCACAGAGGCACACATACTTTTTTTCAGGAGGAAATTGGAGCTTCAACTTTAATTCCTACATTTGCATAACTGTTTATTTCACATATTACATTCACTGGCTGCACACTTCAGAATGTCACTGGATGTGTCAACCTTTTTGACATTGCCGAAAACAACATTGGAAAGCCCAGAGTGATCCATATGGTTCCTCAAAACAAAACAAACAAAAAAACAGTTAAGGGGGTAAATGAAAAAAAGAATGTAGATTTTGTTGTTTTTGCCTAATTTTAAAACTTGTGTTTTTTAAATTTCACCTCTGAAGTTTGCTAAGGCCCCAGTGGGCCCCGGGCCCCTGTTTGAGAACCACTGCAGTAGAGGTCATCTAGGTATTGTTCGTATGATTTTATATTTACAATATAGCCAACACTGCACACCGATTTCCTATTCATTCGATGTACTGCTTTGAAATACTAAGGAAGTATGCCAAAGTGTTGACGGGCTCAAGGCTACCTTTTCATTTACTGCTGAAGAAATTAATTAGGTTATCTTTTTTGTTATAATTACATTTGAAGATACATAACAGAGAAAAATAGCCAAACGAAGCAAGATTTTATTTGAAACCTATATAGAGTTTGGGTCAAAGTCACCAGTATTCAAGTGATTCTACACTCACCCAGTACTTGAACTTCAGTTTAATAGTATTTTAATCACGCCGGTGATTATAACGGCTGCTTGACTTGTGTCGCGTCGCGCGCGCGTAGACACACAGTGTTCAGCTCTACATGTCTTTCCACATCAAAGGGAAATCACACACAGTTCCAACAGTTCAGCGGTGGGAGGCTACCAGCGCTTGAAAGGATCGTTCGCCTCCAATGCACCAAAGCAAACAAACACTCTTGCCCTCGGAAGTTGCATATTTCCATAAACTGCATATGGATAAAAAGCGTCCTTGAGTGCCGTCAGTGTTGTTTGTGATTCAGCTCGATATGTCTGAAAATCAGCCTCTTTGCGCTCTGGTTTTCTTAACTTCACTCTTCTGCTCGACATGCTCACAGGGGACACGGTTCGTTCATTCAGCTGCCCTAGATGCGGATGGGAGATACATACATGGTGGATTTGACGAGTCCACGATAACTTTTGAAGTAGAAGTGGAAACGAGAGGATATATAGGATTCGGTTTGTCACCGACCGGTGCGATGTCTTCGTCTGATATCGTGATAGGTGGTGTGCTGCTCAACGGAAGTTCCTATCTGCTGGTAAGTGTGTGTTCACGCACCTTTGGTGTGAATGCATCTCTGATTATACACAGCTCACAGTTTAAAATTAGCCTGCTGCATTTTGACCTCTGTAAATGTTGTGATGGATTGATTATTATTATTATTTCAGTTTTAAGCAGGTTACTCAAATGATTTAAGTATTTTGAATAAATGTTTATTGATCTGTGATGGAAAAAAAAATCATTAACAAACATATTTGCTCCCATCCATATTAACTTATACAACAATGATGTGCAAAAATGAAAGAAAAAATAAAGTAAAAAAATGATCTTATTTTTACTTTCATTTGCTTTACCATCCATAATGCACTGTGCATTTAATAGGAAACAGCATTGGTAACATGACTGGCAAACTAACTTATTTAATGCATATCTTTGCATACTTTTTACATCAATTCAAAAAGCCATTTGTTATGAGCTTTTTAAACTTAAAAGTAATAGACATACGCCAAAACATAGATCAAAATTAATCTGCGCTTATTTATATCACAACAACATACTGTACAGCGGCAATACTATTATTAGTTTATAATATAATCATTATATTAATAAAGCATTCATAATGCATGTGTTTTATGTTGATGCATAATGCAATCATTAATTATTGTAGTATTGTTTTATTCATTATTTGTGCCAATAAAGCAGAAATAATCATTGTTCTGCATGTCATTGCCAGATCATCTGTATTGGTAGTGGTCACAAAAACTGTATTATATAGTTTCTCTCAGGTTTTTATTTTTATTATTTTCATCCATAGGTTTATAAATGACATACTTTTCAAGAGTGTGAGCAACATTAAAGACCACTGTCTGAACATTTAAACCTGCTGTAATAGTTTTTTTGTTTGTGTTCTGAATCTGTTGCAATGAGATCATCACAGTAACCCACTGACCTGACTATAATCAGCTGCCTTGTTGTGACCTGGATAATAATCAGACAGTACTTGCACAGACACTACTTTTTCAAATGAAAACAGGGCAACATTTGAATACATCCACCCAACTGTCATATTCTGCACATTATAATCCCCACCCAGCTGTGTCTACTCTATGAAGTATAGAATAGTCCAAGATATGATTAGTGTTCAGCACAGGGCTATTCATCAGCATTGTTTATTAAAGACTCTTGTATACCTATACATTGAAGTTTTAGTTTAGTAAGCATGAGTCATGACTGTTTTTGTTCCAAAACTTAGCTGCAGTTCTGTTTGAATGCATTGTAAAAAAAGAACATTTGCGAGGACAGCTAACCAAACATTTTGATCAAAGCGTGAACGCCTGCAGACCAAACCAAAATGATTTACTCACATGATCCAAATACTCCATTAAATAGGTTCAGACTTAAAAGATGCAAACCTGAGATGGACTAACATGGTTCCTCGCTCTGCTCAGGACTACTTTACAGACTCGAACAGAAAGGTCCACAAAGATCCACAAGAGCTACCAGCTTCTGTACGGCAGAGAGAATGGCCACACATACTGTCCTGGCTTTCAGCAGAAACCTTCAGACCTGTGATGACAATGACAAAGTCATTACGGTAGGTTTGACATCATTACATCTGGCTCCATAAGTCTAAAAGAAACTGCTTTTAGTGTCAGGGTCTCTTTATCCAATTTTTGGAGCGTGCACCAAACCAAAGCTTGCACTCTCAGTTGTAATTATAATGTCAGCACATAGCTTTTGTTCAAGGGAAAACAATAGTATGGTGTTTTTATTGAGGAGTTAAATAAACTCAATTCCCTGAAATGTTGTCAAACTTATTATATAAAAAGCCTATTTCACACACAGTAAGCTTACAATTACCCTAATATTTGACTATAGAGCAGGGCAGTACAGTGAGAGTGATCTGGGCGTTCCATGAGGAGGACGTTGGAGTGTCAGGACGCAGTCTACCATGGGATGAACAGAGGCAGAAAGAGTCTGCGATTACTCAACCTGGAAGCAGCTCCAGCATCCCAGCAGGAACAGCTTTCTTTGATATAGAGAGGTGAGGGAAGTGCGTGCAGCAGACTGCTGGAGCGTTTGATGAGCTTACTGTATGACAGAAGAGTGACATAGACCGGCTTAGCCTCAGGCGGTGTTATGCCAACTGTTTTGTCTATTTGTGCATGCTTAAAATCAAGGTCCTTAATGTCAAGGTTTTGTGGTTACATATGAATCGTTTAAAAATACAGACCCTTTTGCCGCTGATTGGGTTTTTTCAATGAAAACAAGGCTCCTTTTATGCCTGTGGGATACTGCCAAACACCAGATTTTATAGAGAGTGTACATATTTACAACTCATAACAAATGCTCAGCATTGAATAGGAAAACCCCAGGAAATGGGATTAATAAAAGCTGGAGTCCATACTCTCCAGTCCACAATGGAATATATTGCTGGTTGTTGATCTAACTGCTATGTTAACTGTTTTTTTTGTAAACATTTTTAAATATTGCAGGTTCCTGTGCCTCATAAGGATACAACATACTGGTGTCAGATCTATAGATTTCCAAAGCTGAAGAAGAAACATCATGTAATCAGAGTGAGTAATACAATTATTTAAATAGTAAAGCATGCCCATCTTAATGAAATCATAATGTTTAAAACACGTGCATTCATTTAAGTCAGGTTTTAATCCAGAGATGAGATAGCTATACAGAGATGCATTCTTAGGAAATTATAGCTTGCATATCGCCAATTAAAATCCTAAACCTCAATCCTCAGTTAACTT